TATATATATAAAATCTATATATTTCTCACAGGCGTTTTTCATGCCACCATAGAAAACAGAACCAAAGTTTAAAACGTTAGAAATTAGATTGTATAAGCTAAAGACATTCTCAGTTCTAAGACTTCTTTAAAAAAGAAAAAAAAAAAGTTAAAGTCTATTTATTCTTTTTTTTTTTTTTTATGAGTGAGAAAAACAAAGAGAGAAGAAGAGGGCCGAGAGACAGTACCTCCAACAGGGTCCTAGCACTGTAGTCTACCCCAGCCTCAACCAGCTCTAGATTGTGGGCATACATGTGCCTGGTATACTCAGGGAGGTTTCCTGATGCTAATCTGGAACCTTCCCATGTGGGTTTGCCCAGCAGCACATCCTGTTTTATCACTGTACCACTGTCTAGTCCCCTTGGTTATAAACAGTAATTCCTTTCTGTTTTTCCAAAATTTGTAGTTACTCTAACCCGACAAAGCTAATACAATAAACTCTTAAATCATCCAGTGGTCTATGATCTGGTTTTGTTTATTGGGCTTGTTTGTTTTTTTACATCTATGTCTGTCAAATTGCTAAAATTTCTGTTAACAGGGTTGTGGCTACACCCTTTCTCCTACTTCAATAGACAGTAAGCATCTGTGTCTTTTCCTGTATCTTCATCGGCAACCCCAGAGCATGGCTGAGACATAGGAGGAAAAACAAGAAAGGATGTTGGGCACCTAAACATATCCCTCTCTGCTTCTCTTCTTAACAAAATCCTCTTTGGTCTTCGTTTTGGAAAGATGTAGGAACATACTGAGAGCTTACTTAGAGGCCACTGACTTCACCTGAAGATTCAGGAAACTTCACTAGCAGCACGACCCATTTTAGCTTTCTCAAGACTTCTCTTTTGACCACCTCAGTTTCACATCTGTCTGTCCTCCTATGTTTTATTCTCTCCTTGCAAACTTTTTTTTTTTGTAAGACTTTACTATGATCAATCCTAGCACTTATATTGAACTTGTAGAAGTGTGCTGTTTTCTAAAGGAAAATGATTGTAGTTCACATAGAGGAATTATTCATCTTGTCTTACAATAGCCACAATGAAAGACTGTTGAGAGATTTTAGCTTCCTTTCAAGATAAATATATCTTCATTTGCTACCAGAATAGTATTTTAGTGTTTACCAATTTTCTGGCATGAGATTTACTCAGGAAATAACCTTTGAGAGGTAAGAACTAAGGAAGTAAGGCTGCTTTGCTAAGTATTATAGTTTAGTCTTTAGGCTTATGCAAATAAACTGTTTAGATCATAAATATTAATTATATAGGCTTTATTAGTTGACATTACTTGAGTGACCTGTTAGCCAAGGTGTAGGCTTTATTACCTCAAACTGTGACTACACTTAAGATAAAGAAAGTTCTGGGGTTTTTTTGTGGTTTTTTTTGGAGAGATTTTTTGCTATAGGGCACATGCACTCACCAGAGAGACAGACAAAGACAGAAAGCAAGAAACCACCTCCTGGGGGTATTGCCACAATGCAGTCCCTCCTCCTCCATTCTCCTCTCAGGATTTTGGGCACACATGCACAGGACCTGGTGTGGGTTTCAAGCCACTGGGTCTGGGACCTGAACCACAGTCAATACATGAGAGTGTAGCACCTTAAACACTATGCCACCTGCTGGCCACAAGAAAGTATTTTCTTTTTAGGGGGTGGGGAAGAAGAGTTTGCTTTAGGGTATGTGCACTCGTCAGAAAGACAGACAGGAAGTGAGAAATCACGCCGCAGAGGGGATGGCCAAACCGCAATCCCTTCTCCTCCATTCTCCTCTCGGGATCTTGGGCACACACGCACATACACCTGGTGTGAGTTTAAGCCACTGGGTCCAGAGCTCAAACCACGGTTGACTACATGGGAGTCCAGCGACATAGCCATTACGCCAACTGCTGGTCCCTAAATTATTTCTTTATTTAATTTTATTTATTATTATTATTTATTATTATTTTTTAGTTTGTGGCTAAACCACAAAGAAACAGAGAGAGTGAGAGAAGGGGAAAGTGAGAAAGTGAGCCACCAGGTCTGGGACTCAAACCACATTTGGCTATGTGGGAGTCTAGCACCTTAACCACTGTGCCACCTGCCAGCCCAAGAAAGCATTTTCTAAGTGGACTATAAGAATCATACGTTAGGCGCTGGCAGGTGGTATGATGATTGAGGTGTTGAACTCCCACATGGCTGACTGCAGTTTGAGTCCTGGACCTGGTGGCTTGCTTTCTCACTCCCCTCTACCCAGCCTCTCCGTCTCTATCTCTCTCTGGTCAAATTAAAAAATAATAAATAATTAAAATAATATTTATTTAAAAAAAAAAAGAATCGGGAACAGCAGTTGGCTTAATGGCTATGTCGCCGGACTCCCATGTAGTTGACGTGGTTTGAGTCCCAGACCCAGTAGCTTAAACTCACACTGGGTGCATGTGCATGTGTGCCCAAGATTCTGAGAGGAGAATGGAGGAGAAAGGATTGTGGCCATCCCCCCTGCGGGGGTGATTTCTTGCTTTCTGTTGCTCTGTTTCTCTGTGTCTTTCTGGCGAGCACACGCACCCTATAGCAAAATCCTCTCCAAAAATAAATAAATAAATTGATTGATTGATTGATTGATTGATTGATAGAATCCTAAGTTAGCTTCTGAGTATCTTGTAGGCCAGGTTATTATATTTTGTGTTAGAAGTTAATATTCTTTCTGGAAAAAATTTGTAACATATTTGTAGACTGTCTTAACAATCTGGTCACGGTGAGGCAGTGAAACACAATGCTCTATTATTGTGAAGCCACATGGGAAGGTCCCGGGTTCATATCCCAAGGTCTCCCTCTGTGTGATGAGTATGTGCACATGTGCTGTGATCCTGCATAGATGGATCATAATGTGAAGACTCTTTTGGGAGTTCCTCCCTCTCTTAGTCTTGCTCTCTCCTTCTCTGTCTTCCTCTCTTATGAAATAAATAAGTAAACTTACAAAAAATAAAAATGAAAAACAGTTAGAAAAAGGTACTTTTGGGGACCAACCTGTGGCCGGGTGGTTATGTCAGCTGGATCCCAGATGGCAAACTGTGCAGTGTTAGTCCCAGACCCTGGTGGCTTGAAAAATGTGTGCATGAATGCCTGAAATTCTTAAAGGAGGGAGAAATGGAGAAGGGATTATGACATGACCATGCCCTATGGGGGGTGCTTTTTGGTTTCCCTCTGTCTCAGCGCCTCTTTCCAACAAGCACATACCTGCTCTGGCAAATTAAAAAAAAAAAAAAAAAAAAGAACTTTTAATGGATAGTGTGAAGCAATGTGTGATTAAAATAACATTTTATTTCCCATCTTTAGGTATTTATGGAAAAGATAGGCAAACAATCGGAAAAATATTTACTCTTGAATGTTTATTGTAGCATTATTCACAGTCTCTGAGACAGAATCAACTTAAGTGCCCAAGAACTGATGACTAGGTCAAAAAATTGTGGGGCATAGACACTATGGAATACTATTCAGTCATAGGGAACAATGAGACTGTCATTTGATTCAAAGTAGATGAATATAGAAGATTGAATGCTAATAAGAAAAAGGAAGCCAGCCTTTGAAAGACAAATACTGTATATCCTTGCTCAGTGTATACCAAATATCTGTACTTTATAGCAGAAATGGGAAGATTCAAAGATACGATAGTAGAGAGGATAAGTGTCAGTACCAGAGACCATAAGGGAGGGGAATGGAGTTAGAGTAGTGGTGGGAGGGACAAAGGGAAGACACCCTTAGCAGGTACAAGAATGTAAAGTTCTCTATTGAAAATAATGTCTGTGGTGGTAATATCCTTGATTTATTGTCACATACTACATGCATAGTTTGAAAAACCACCTTATAGAGATGTGCAAGGATTGAATGTAAGTAAGAAATCGTAAAATAAAAAAAGAGAAAGGAAAATTAAAGTTTTATTTACAGAAATGGGCAACTAGTCAGTCTATAGAACACCAACTTGATTTTTTAAATATGGTATTAAGGTATTCATCTTGATTATTGAGTCTTTTGGTGTCCCCTTATATTTTGCAACCAAGGTGAGTGCTTCACTCACCCTACCCCTAGTCTCAGTCCTCATGTAATGTCTGATCTACTTGTGTTTTCTCATAGCCACCAGTTACTAAAAGTCTAGTAACCAACTGTAAACCAGTAACAGACAAAATCCACAAAGCATATAAGGACAAAAACAAATACAGGTAAATAGTACATATAGTTTCTCTTTGTTTTAAGAATAATTATAGTGGTCTGGTTATTTTCATGGTGGTATAATATTTTATCCATTAAGTATTCTTTTTAAATTTACGTAAAATTTTCTTTAGCATTAAAGATTTAATATTGAAAGATTAAGTCATCCTGTGGATATCGAATTTACCAAGGTTTTGAAAAATGCTTTTTCTGGGCTGGCTCCATGATGCAGTAATGTTGTTAGGTGCTACTCAAGAGATGCTGGATCCTACATGTTGACTGAGGTCCCATCTGCCTGAAATATGGCAGGGAAGCGCCTTAGTGTCCACGAGCTTATGCACTTGAGTGCCCAGGACCTGGTGGGCTAAAGGAATGGAGGAAGAGGATTATGGTGTGACCAGGCCCTGTGGAGGAGGGCTTTACTCTCTCATATAAAGTATATCTTGGAAAAAAAAGCTTTTCTTATTGAAAATTTTTTATAGCCACATAAATATTTGATCTCTTTAAATATGTTTTGATCATTAGATTTGAAATCATGGGAGAAGAAGAAATTGCTTTTAAAATGATTCGTACCAATGTTTCTCATGTGGTTGGCCAGTTGGATGACATAAGAAAAAACCCCAGGTATGCATTTTTACAAATTAACTTTAATTATGTAAATACAGATGAATAACAGGCAATACAGTTAAACAGGAAGGAGCAACTTATTTCTGTTTGGAGCAGCTGAGAAAGCTTTACGTTAGAAGTGATGTTAAACTTCTGTGGAAAATAGGTGTTTCATCTATTCCCTTGGGGAAAAAAGTATATAAAATTGATATATAAAATTGAATATCTTTCATTCCAAGTCTTTTAAATGCTTTGAAAGACCTTTAGTTTATTTAAGTTAGGATTTTAGCTATAAATAATCTGAGATATAAATTTTCTATATATTTTAAAGCCATCGTAATTTCTTTATATAAATCTCATTCTTCTTTGGGGTAGAAGAAACTGGAATTTTGAGAAAAATAAAAAGATCTTTAGTGCTTATTTAGTATGATCAGTAGTCTAGTAAAATAACTTCATTTCCTATAAAACAACAAATATTTTCCATAAACCAAACAAACAGTAAGCCATCATTATTACCCAGCTTGTGTGTGTGTGTGTGTTTATACATATAAAGAGAATGTACAATGCATATCTACATATATATTCTCTTTACCAGGAATGCACTATTCTAATTTTTTAAAAAATAATGAGCTTAATTTAAGAAAATTTCTGATGGGAGTACAAACTTCTTTCCATTCTGTTGTTGAGTTCTCTCAGTTGTTAGTGATCTGTAATAATAACATGAGGATTTGTAATAATAACATGCGAGTTTTCAGTTGTTACCCATACTTTTATGTCTTTGTGTTAGTTTGAAAGTTGTTGGGTATTGGCCAGCAGGTGACATTGAGATTAAAGTGCTGGAACCCACATGGCCGACTGCATGATTTGAGTCTTGGACCTGGTGGCTTGAAAATCATGCTGGGTACATGTGCATGCATTCCCAAAATCCCAAGAGAAGAATGAAGGAGAAGTGGGTGATTTCTCACATTCCTTCGCTCTGATCTCTCTCTCTCTTTCTTTAGCAAGTGTACATGCCCAATAGTAAAAACTAAAATAATAATGATAATAGTGAATTAAAAATAAAGAAAGCTGTTGGGTGAGAGAATTCATAGACATCTTCATAAAGGCACAGAATTTTTGTAAAAAGACACAAGACAAGTCAGGCCTCTTCTGTGGTTTTTGCCAGGACCAGCTACTTTCTGTGTATGTGAACAGATTTTATTATTTTTAATTATTGTTCGATTATTTTTGTTGTATTTGTGCTCATATTTAAGTTGGACATAGGAAACCAGTCTTCTGACTGACTTCAGTTTAAGGACATGTTATAAGGAGTCTGGGAGAGGCAATATTCAGACTGCCTTTCTTTCCTTGCTTAATTGCCTGAGGGAATGGGACCTCATGAGAGAGAGAGAGAGAACTCCTCTACATGCTCACATTGCAAGCCTTTGTCTTCCATTTCTCCATCCCGTTGGGACATGCATGCATACAGACCCAGAGTGTTTTTCAATCTGCCTGGGTCTGATTCTCAAAATGTAGATGGCCGTGTGGGATCCAGCTTCCTACACACAGACTTGACTGGTGTGCTGCTAGGCCAGCCTCAGGGTTTGCTTTTCTTTGACCGCCTTAGTCCTGCCCTCCTGCTTATGTTGGCTTCTTTCCCAGGCTACAAGACCATTAATGCATATATAAGAACTTTGAACATTGATTAAAGAATGCTAGTAGCTAGCCCATATTCAAATTCCCTCTATGGCCTTCAGATGCCTTTTATAGTATTGTCTGTTCATTTTATATTTGTTTTTAATCCAGGATACAGTCAAGGCTCGGGTGTTATGTTTGGTTGACATAGCTCCTTATTATACTTTAATTTAAAATAGTGCCCAGGTTTAGAGAATAGATCGTTCAATGATTCACATGCCCACCACTTGTCTTCAACAGGAATTGATTTGTATTTGATCTTGATTAACTATCTGGTCTGTGTGCCCTTCTCTCCACTTGTCTTTCATAAGCTTTTTTTTTTCTTTGACTTGTTATAGGGTGTGTGCACCCACTGGAGAGAGACAGAGAGTGAGTGAGAGAGTACCTCTTAGGGGGTATAGCCATGTTGAGTCTCTTTTCTCTTTGGATTTGGGACACACATGTACCTGGCATGTTTTTTAAGCCACTGGGTTCAGGACTCAAACTGCACAGTCAGCCATATGAGATCCAGCCACCTTAATTAACCATCATGCCACTGGCTGGCGCTGTATTTGTTTTTAAATTTGTTGGTTTAAAGTGATATATAGGGAGCCAGATCCCTACATGGCCAACCAGGTGATTCAAATCCCTGCCCTGGTGGCTTGAAAAACACTAGGCATCGGGAACCAGGAGTTAGCGTAATGGCTATGTCGCTGGACTCCCACGTAGTCGACCGCGGTTCGTGTCCCAGACCCGGTGGCTTAAAACTCATGCCGGGTGTGTGTGCGTGCATGCCCAAGATCCTGAGAGGAGAATGGAGGAGAAGGGATTGCGGCGTGACCATCCCCCCTGGGGGGTGATTTCTCGCTTTCTGTCTCTATGTCTCTCTTTGTCTGTCTGGCGAGCGCACGCGCCCTACAGTGAAAATCTCTCCAAAAAAACAAACAAACAAACAAAAAAACACTAGGCATGTGTGTGTGCATGCCCCAAATCCCAACAGCATGGAAAAATGGAAGAGAAGGAACAGTGATGTGACGATGCCCAATGGGGGACGTAGTTTCTCCCACTCCTCCTCTTACTGTCTGTCTCTATGGTTCACACATGACCCTTTTCGTCCCCCTCCGTCCAAAACAATAGCAATATCACATAAATTCATTTTAAATAAATCTTTAGGTTTCCCAAGATATTTTTAACCATTTATTTTTTTGTATTTTCTATGAAGAAATCTTATTATATATTCTGTAGATTGCCTATACTTTGTATTTCTTTTATCCTGGTTATTTAACATATTCTTGTGTTCCCGTGTTTCTCATAAATTGATAGTTGGATTTGAATTTAATTATCAGATTTAAGTTTGATTTTTTTTTCTTTTTTTGGCAATTTACATCACAAGTGTCATCATCTCTTAAGTTTGATTTTTTTTTTTTTTTTTTTTGGCAATTCTACATCACAAGTGTCACCACCATTTTAATGGGCCCTCAGTTTAATGACTTCTGCCTTAAGGGCAACTTAATTGAAAGCAAGATCAAAAGCAGCAATGTAATCTGTCAGATTTCAGTATTTATGCCTTGGTTGAAGCATATCCATGAAACTTACTGAATCTGTACTATAGGCACCATCTTACCTACAC